CTTTTGCCGCTGAGCTAAATCCCCAGCCCCGAAAATGAAATTTTTAAAAAGCCATTTGTAACACTGAAAAATTGAAGTACTTTTAGGAGAAAAATCAGTATTATTAAGATAAAAATTCTCCCAAAACTGATCCATAAATACAACATAATTCCAATAAAAAGTGGGTTTTCTCATCAAAAGTGACAAACTAATTCTAAAATTTATAAGGGGAAATGAGTAAGTTCCGCAGTACAATGTATGCTTAACATGCACCAAGAACAAACAAACAAAATACAAAGCACCAAGAATAACCTAAATACCTGTAAAAAAAAAGAGTTGTAAGATTAAGAAAACTTGATTTGAAGACTTATTAAAAAGCTATTATAATGAACACAAAGATACGCTGTTGGCATAATGATAGACAAGTAGGTCAATGGTCCATTTATAAACTCCATGAAAGGATCCACTTACACATACATGGACAACAAATTTTAACGAGTGTAGAAGGAATTCAGGAAAGGCAAATGATGCTGGAACAAACAAATACACAATGGATGTTTCACTTTCAACACTTCAAGAAAAAAAATAAAGATCTTTGGTCAACAGCTTACATCATCTATAAAAATTATCTCGAAGTAGAGCACAGATCTAAATCTAAAACCTAAAATTATAAAACTTTTCAACACAATTTGTAAATAAATTCAACACTGAATTCATCAAAACTAAAAACCTTTGCACTTTAAAAAACAATTTAAGAGAATGAAATATCAACCAAAGAAAGGGAGAAAATATTTGCAAATCATTTCTGATAGAGGACTTCTTTGCAGAGTACATTAAGACATTATACATTTATTAAAATGGCTAAATAAAAAGGCTGACCATATCAAGTACTGATGAGGAATACCTATGGAACTCAAACTTGTAGGGGGACTAGAAAATAGTAAGACCTCTTGGGAAACTTTTGAAAAACTGCTCATTTCTTACGAAGTTAAATACACACTAGCCATATAATTAAGCCACTCCGTCCTGTATTTACTCAAAAGAAATAAAAATATGTGCACAAACATTCTTATTAGCTTTATTTGTAATAGCTCAAAACTACCTAAATGTCTACGGACAGGTGAATGGAGAAACTATAGTTGTGATGGTTTGTATCTAGAATGTCCCCCCAAAAGCCTCATGTAATGAGAGGTGGTGCTTGTGGAAGGCAACTGGATCATGGGGTACTATATTCATCAGTGGATTAAGCCATCACTAAGTTCACAGCTCGAAGTGGCATTAGGAGGCATGCCTGGTTAGAAGATGTGGGTCACTGGGGTCATGGCCTGGAAGGGTATATCTCTCTCTTTCCAGCTCTTTCCTTCAATTTCTCTCCTTCCTGACAGCTATAACAGGAGCAGCTGTCCTCCACCAGATCTTTCCACCATGCCCTTCCTGCCTTGGAGCAGGTGACTATGAATTAAAGCCTCTAAATACAGTAAGCCAAAATAAAACTCTCTCCTCTGGTACAGTTGTGGGTGTTGCATAATGTTTGCCAGCGATGAGAAAGTGACTAAGACGAAAGTGACTAAGACAGAGATATTACCATACAAGGGAATAAGACTTAATAATAAAGAAGAATGAACTACTGACACAAGTAATAATTTTAGTTAATGTCACAATAAATATGTAGTGAAAGAAGACAGACCAAAAGCAATTACATAAAGTTCTAAGAAATACAGACTAATGCATAGCATCCAAAACAGGCTGGTAAAGTGGACACGGTAGTACACACCTTTAATCACAACACTCTGGGAGGCTGAGTCAGGAGGAAAGTTCAAGCTCGGCCTGAGAGACTTAGTGAAACTGAATTTATCTCAAAATTAAAAAGAAAAGGGGACAGGTGCCAGGGATGTAGCTTAGTGCAATGGCCCTGGATTCAATCCTCAGTACCACAAAAAAAAAAACAAAAACCAGTAACTACATTGGTGGTTGTAGGCAGCTGAGGTATAGACACTAAAGGGGAAAACCTAGAAAGGACTCCAAGGAAACTCTGTGGTGTACATGATCATTATCCTGATCATGGTGAGGTTTCATGAGTGCCCATAAATAGCAAAATGTATTGACCTGGGCATAGGTGGTGGTGCACACCTGCAATCCCAGCACTGGAGAAGCTAAGACAGAAGGATCTCAAACAAAGCTCAAACAAGGTCTCTTCCCGGCTTTGTCTCAAACAAAATATAAATAAATAAAAAAAAAAAAAAACAAAGGGGAAAGGAGAAAGGAAAGAAGGGGAAAGTGAAAAACAAAGAAAAGAAAAAATGGAAACATAGCTTTTGTAAATGGGGAGGGAAGAAAGAGTTGAAGGCAGGGTAGAGGAATGGGGAAAAAAGAATCAAGTTATAGCATGCACAGGTACAAATTCTCTAACGATGAATGTGATCACTGTATATAACTAAAATATACCAATAAAAAAATCATAAAACAAAACGAAACGAAACAAAAACCTTAGTAAAGTGTACACCAGAAAACTTGCTTTCTGGACAAAATACCTCCTGTTTGAGGCTACTCTACAAGAAAGCTGTTACTTCTCCTTTTCAATTATTTTAAAATTTTTTTTATTATACTTAAGTAACACAAGTAAAGTCATTTTTTCTAATAGTCTTTTCCAGTCCTGCTTTTCTCACCAGGGTTCACTAAATTCTCTCATAAACATATATGGACTCTTGCATACACTTCCATGGTCCAGGTGTCAAGAAACAAAATACATTTAGTTCAACAGTCAGATTCAAAACAACTACCATCACCAACTGAATACCACTTCAAAATCTCACAGACCAACATATATTACTCAGTAAAGTTAGAACAAAAACCCAAATCAAAACCCTTAATCATGAATCCTTTGGGATCACAATTTTCATCAACTAAGAATTTTTTTGTAGTACTCATTTGTAGTTTTTTTTTTTTTTTCTTTCTTGGTAGTACTGTTTTGTAGAATTCCTCCCTTCTGTTTGTTTCTGGAACATGTGCATTAGTTAAATGTTGACCTGGTGAATCTAATTTTATTTCTTTTTTTCCCTGCAGGGACCTTACACAGTATACTGCTATACAGCTGCACTAAGAACAACTGAAATCACCAAAGACCTCTACACTAACAAGTCTAGAGAGAGGGAAAAAAAAATTTTTTAAACATTCTACTACAAGGTAAAAGTTTTCCCAAATGATTAATTTTATGTAAAAAAGGAAATGGAGGGTTTTTTAAAAATTTTTTTTAAATGTTTATTACCTTGTTTCTGGTTTATAAGCTTTTTCTTAGGGGAGATGTTGCTAACTAAACAAGCATTCCTGCAAACTGAGGAATCAATCATACACCACATCACTAGTGTTCTAGTCTTGGATGCAACTCAGAATATGCCTTCCCTCAAACGTAATACATTCTAGTGAAAAGAAACAACCTATATCAATATATTAAATTTTATACAGAAGTGCATGCTATGAAGAAAAATAAAGCAGGAATAAACAGGACAGTGTAACCATTTTGAGTAGTCAAGTTACAATACTCTGAAGGAGGATGTCTGGCAAAGAAGTAAAGAAAGGAGAAACAGGTAACTATGCAGACTCTGAGGTAAAGGGAAGTGCAAAGGCCCTGGAACAAACTATCCTTCCTTTTAAAAGTTTTATTCTAGCTTTTGGAAAGCTCTCTTAGGCAGTTTTTCCTAAACTTAGTTTTTCCTAAGATTCAAATCTTTTTACCTGACTGTTAAAGAGTTCAGGGATTTGGACTGAATAATTCTTTGTCGTAAGGAGGATATCCTGGGCATTACTGATTAGTAGCCTCCTTAGTCTCTAAATGCTATATATTAGTACAGTAGCACTCTTGGCCCCCCTGATAAAAAAATGAAAATGTCCCCAGATACTGCAAAAGCCTGTTGCAGTGCATAATCACCCTAGGTTGAGAAGAACTGCTATAATTCGACCTGGTGGGACCAAATAACAATGCATAAAAGTAACGATGATGAGATGACATTTGGGCATTTAGTACATGCTGAGCACTTTAATGGGCAAAACTGTTCCCCTTTTACAGCTGAATAACGTGCAGAGGCTAAGCTACCTGCCTGAGAGCAGACAGTTAACTGAATGATGGATCTCAGATGTGACCCAAGGAGCTCAACTTCAGAGCTCAAGCTCCTAACCTCAAACAAGTCGGACTCAAAGGAAGCCTAATTTCTTTACTAACAGATAATTCTTCATGTACATATATGGAATCACAATGTACTATAAACATGTATTAACAAAAATATTTTTAAAACAGTAAAACACACACACACACAGACAATTCTCTCTATTTGAAGAGAGCTCCTCTTGTGAGACTCCTTAACATCTATCCAGAGTTGGCCTAAAATTCTCTTAAATTCTTAGTTCCTCAAGCTTATAAGGCATCCAACTTCTTTGTTTTCTTTCTCCTACATATATGCAGAACCAATGGCAACAATATTGCAGTACATAGTAGAGTAGCTCTTTTTTCTATTAACTGAGACAGTTCGGGGTGGGAGAAGAGATGATGGCTGCCATATTGTACTATTGCTGTCTATCAAGTTTTCAACTACACCCTTAAGGTCTTTTTCCACATGATAGAAAAATGTCTATTGTGAAGACATGTTACCTTAATCAATATTAAGGTTTTTCAAGTGAACCAAGAAGTTCATTTACATTTAGCCCAACAATCCAGCCTCACAAGTAATTTTGGGTCATTCAGTATATTATTCACTATTCCTCTTTCTTCACCATTGACTGCAAATGTGGTAATTTATTTCCTCCAGATGAACAACGAAACAAAGCAAAGAACAAAGCCACCTCCCAAGATCAACATCGCTTTGGATGAGTTCATTCAAAATCAAAATTAACACAATCAACTAGCAGGTAACTAATTCCCTTACCTTATACCCATGAATTAAAAAACAAACAAAAAACTGCCTAAAAGTTAAGCTTAAATCCAAATATACTGCCATTACTTTACTAACTACATCAGAGAAAAATCAAAGTTGGGTCTATCTATTTTTAATAAACCCATTCCACAACAATTTTCAAACCCATTCCAAAATACTTCTCTTCTAGTTGGTCATAAATTATTCTTTTCATTTTGTATTTCAAAATATTATAATTCTTTCAAAATCAGGCCCAGATCTCCCATCTTTTAGCAGTTCTTACATTCTGGTAAAACCTTCAAAAGATCACAAGTTTACTGATACTTTTAAGATGATACATGAAGTCTCCTGTATCCTATATGACACTATGTTTCACACAGCCCAGGAAACAACTCATACGCCTATATTGACTTTCATACTTTGCTTTGTTACATTTTTTTATGTTGGTGGCTTGTTCTTCCACTTTGACAAAGAAGCTTCAAAGAGCTGAGGTTCTTCCCTGGTTATATATACCATTATACTTTGCTTGAATACCTTCTGCCTCTTCTGTTGGTGCTAGCATTTTTTAAGTCTCAGTTCATGTGAGCTTTAGTTTTCCTGATTTTTTAAAAGCGTTTATTTTTTATACTTTATTGTGGCTTTCGCTTCATTTTAAAAAATAATATGTATATCATTAAAGAGCTCACTTTGTAATCACACTAAGGATTTTTTTGGTCAGAATATATCAAAATTATATTTTTACTTAGCTTTCTAAGATGTTCTTCCTCTTTGAAGAAATTTATGCTTGTGGAATCACATTGATCATTTCCCTAATCAAGTATCAGAAGAACATCATGCAATTCTTAAAAATTTTGCCATAGGAGATGATTTTATGACACAAAGAATGTTTATAATTTTCCCTTTTTTCAAACAATAGATTATGTAACAGTACATACAGCAATATCTAGAAATCATTTTAAAGTATACATGTTAGTCTTTAAATATATTTATATACAAATGCAGAAAAAGTTTCTATAACAAAATATTTGAAGTGTATTTCTTTTGATAGTACAATAACATTTTTATTTTCTTTCATATACTTTTCTGTGCTTACCAAATGTATGCAATGCATACATACCTCTTTTATACTAAAACAGGCACTATCTTAAAAGAATCAGCAGAACCAGAGGAAGTATTCCAAAAATTACCCAGCTCAAGATTCTGCTTTTATAACTGTAGTACTCTCAGAAGCTTAAAAAAAATTTCTATACCTAAAACCACACCAAAAAGCCAAATGCATGACCCCCCCCACACACAGAGAAGTCATGCTAACCATCAAAATGACCATTTATATTTTTAGAAATTAAAATTTAAAAACCTTACATTTTAAGGAAAATGTTATAAACTACTTATATACATTAGAATAATTTTAAAATACTGAATATCCCAAAAGTGCCTACAAAATGAAGGATTAGTAGGAAGTATAATGACAGAAGGAAAAATATATTATTTAAAATTTTCAAATTGTGCTAGAATTTTTTGATCAGGTGAGCAATGTCACCTATTAAGATTTAAAAGCTCACTGAAAAAACAATTTATTTAGAAATTTTATCTGATTGAAAATCAATTTGTACTAATCCAAAACTTATCTGGCTTATTCTCTGCTTCAGCAACAGTATCTAGATCATCTGTTCACAGTGTATGTTCTTTAAGACTAGAAAGTAAGTTATTTTAACCAAATGACCAAGTAAGTTATTTTAACCATTTTAACTGTAGAAGTTTATTGTTCAAATACATTTAGTCCTATGAAGTACTATTATTAAGTAATTCAACTAGTCCTTAATTCATCCAAAAGTAAAAATATATTCAACCTCACCTTTAGGAAATTATTTCAATTATTTCATTTCTTTATCTTGAATTTTATTTTCAAATATAGCAAAAATATTTCAAATTAGTCTTTTCTTAAATTTTTTATATTCAGAAAATATAAAACCAAACAATACATTGAAATAAAAAATGCATCCAACCCCTGAAAACAATAAAAATATAAGCCATTTATTTTAAATAATGCCATTAATGTGACAAAAATATATGATCATTTACATCTAGAAATGTAAATGGTCATAATGAAAAGAAAGCCAACATCTCTCTCAATCTTCTCATATAGCATATATGTATATAATTATAACCCAGAGATATCATGTAATAAATGAATACACACCTTCCTTTAGTATATGCCAAGGTAGACACACAAAAACAAGAAAAAAATTTTGCAATCAGAGTATAAAGGGATTCTTTTCTTTCAAACAATGCAGCACTGAAAGCCAGGTCAGCATCCTTGGGCATTACTAGGAAACTTTAGCACATCTGATATTTCCATCATCTTCAAGATTCCTCTGAACAATCAGAAAATTTTCCAGTCTCCCCCTACTTCACCTGTCCATAGACTTCCTTTAGTTTCCTCCCTCTACTGTGTAATAATGCTGTTGCAGATTATTTAGGCTTTAAATGTTCAGAGATCCAACCCCCTCTATATATTAATTCAGTTCATTTTCTCACAGACACTGACTCAGCCGTGGGTTGTGCAGCACTGACGTTTCTAACCAAACAGCATCTTGCGAGCTGTGATCATCCCATTTCTCCATCTCTGAGCAGTGATTGGACGTTGTAATTGATAGACAAGCAGAAGGAAACGCAGGAGACAAGGGCTCAGAGATATGTAGATATGTTGCCAAATGCCATCTGTAAAGCTAATTCTAGCTCTGCCAGCTTGCCAGGTTTTAGAAAACTAGGATACAGCTAACTTCCTTTATTCCCTTCAATATTTGCCCATTCATTCTGAACAGTAAAGCTTGTCTTTAAAGCCAGAGAGAAAATATTACTTGGACTTTTACTAATCTACCCAATAAAAATTTTTTTGAGCAACCAAACTTTTCCATTCTAAACTGATGGTGAAACTGGGACTACGGAGTGACTTACAAAAGAAAACTGACAAGCTCATACTTCGTGCAGCCTCAGAAGCAATGAGCATGCGTACTTCTACATGGGAATGAAACCTTGCGGCAAAGTCTGATATTCAACGTATGATGCATTTATCTTTAGTAACCTGAGCAGACTGCAGATGACTGAAATTTTATAAACTCATATTCTATACAATTCAAAATATTCAAGAGCTTTTAGCTTATTATTTACCTAGACATTTTAATATTATAAAGAAGAGGTGTTCTTTTTCTTTTTTTAAACAGCAAAAACTCCTCTAATTCTTAACTCAAAGAAAAGGTGTCACTATTCAGGCCAAATATTCCTCAAGTGAAATGACCTTTAACATCTTTAGCAAGTTATCAAGCCCCTCCACTATGGTATTAACTGCACAACAATTCACACAGGAACAAAGTTATACAACAATTCACAGAGAAACAAAGTTCACTAATTTTTAGACTATTTGTATACAACTGAAAAGATCACAGGTATCCTGAAGTTCAGCTATGTCCAGAACAGTTTCTCTGTCTTATCTTTTATATTACAGCACTATACATATCGAGCCTATATTCAAAAGAACATTTAGAGATGAATACCTTCAATTGTAGTAGATGGAGTAGCAATTATAAACAAACCCTAAAATGTCAACATTGAATACATACACATAAGAAAGTAACTATTATTATTACTTTCATAAATTAAAAATTTCTTTGGATCATAGCCAGCAAAGGTGAGAAAAAAAATCAAAAGTAAAAAGCTAAAAATATACGGTATTTTATATATATATATATATATATATATATATATATATATATATATATATATAACAACATAGACTTAAGGATGACTGGCATCATCTACAAAAATTGAACCAATAAAGATAACAATGATCATTTCTTTACTTTTTATTCATTTAAGTCATTTTATTCATATCTCGAGTTAGCAATATGGTAGTTTAAAAACTATAGTCTCAATCCTCCTGATCCCAAGTTGGCCAAATGACATAGTTCTTGCTAATGAACTGTAAGCAAATACCATAGGAATTTCTGAGAAATTTAATTTCCTGATATAAGTGAATCCCTTTCCCATTGTCTCCTTAGTCTTGTCTAGAAGGTGTATATGATGCCTACAGCCACTGACTACAAGAGGAAAGCCAAGCAAATCAGAGAGTTTTAACCCCTAGGCAACTAAACATACATCAGCCATTTCCTACTTCTGTAATTCCTATGTACAAAATAATAATAATAATCCTTAACTTATGCCACTGTTTAGTGTGGTTTTCCTTTACCCAAACATCCCTTAGTAGGTAATTTAAAAAAAAAAAAGGGGGGGGTAAGTAGATAGAGGAATAGATGAAACAAAATCTCTATGAGTTGCTAACTTCAAGCTAGCTGATGGGTAGCAGAGGTTCATTATACCTGGCCTATTACAGTATGTTATTTAATAGTGAAAAAGGATGAGAAACTTGTTCACAAATTCCACTTTGCCATCTACAAGTTGGACAGCTTTGGGAAAGGCTATTAACCTCATTTTTTTCATCTGACAAATGGAGGCTGTAGTTCTATCCAGAACTCCAGGTTCAGATCCAGTCAAGGTAATCCCATGAAGGTCCCTGACAGAAATGTCCTTCATCTACCTTAATACTTTAATCATCTGAGGATTAGCTTGTCTTTATTTTCCTCCAGTAAAGTTGATACTGATTCCTTCTTTGAACTTTATTTTACAATTCACGACTACAGTTTAAATTCTTTGTAGTCTTGTAATTGAACCATCTGTGGTTATTAAAGCATTCCATGTTATCTTGACACTCGGGAACTGAGGATACATTCTTAATAAAGTTTGCTGGTTGTTAGTTTTTAAAACTTCTCAAAAAGTAGGTAACTATCAACTCCCAATGTATCATATTAAGAAAGTCAAACTGGCTGGGGATGTAGCTCAGTGGTAAAGTGCTTGCCTACCATGCACAAGGCCCTGAGTTCAATACCGAGTACCACACACACACACACACACACACACACACACAAAATTAAAAATAAAAAAGTCAAACCATACTTTTTTCAATCTGTTCATAAAGAAAACAAACTCTTAAAATCAATTTATTGATATTTTTATTTGACTTTCCTGTTTCTCTTTCAAACAATCCTGTGTAGCTAAAAAGAGCACCAAAATTACTGATGACACAACCATCCACAAGTTATATTTCAATATAACAACAGCAATGGAAAAAAAAAGTACTGTACATTTTTGTTTGTTTTTCTTCCAGCACCAGGAATCAAACTCGCAACCCCACACTTGCCAGGCAGGCACTGTGCTGCTGAGCTAAATCCCCAGCCCCAGTAATGTACATTTTTATAAATTTTTTCCCACTGTATGCACGTAGCTTTTAAAAAACAATGACTTATTTCCACTCCTGTCATTTCTTCACTTAAGAATGCTATATTGTACATTAACAGAAAAATAACTATTAGGAAAGGTATCATAATTCCCCTGAAAACACACATATAAAACATAGTAGATAATATAGTCCCATATATGTGATAAAATTAAAACCTCTTTAGTCTCAAAAACAATGAAAACCAATTAGACTCCCACTCAGAGGACACACACAAAAAACACAAACCAAAAACATTCATACCACTTGGCATATACTTACAAATTAATAAATCCAACTTAACATTTACATTTTAAAGCCTCATCACATCAAAAGTCCACTACAGTTGAATTCATCTTCTCAAAAGATTTTAAAAAGTAACTCATGTTTTCTAACTTTAATATACAATTTAAAAGAAACTGAACCATTTCTTTAAAATTACAAAAAGGATTTCAATTATCATAGCATTTCTTTAAAGAAAGTTGGTATAGCTGGTATTTATTATCTTTTTTGAATAGCTGGTATTTATTATCAGTGATAAGGACAATTTTATATTGAAGTAAGTTAAATGTTCAAAAATATCCTCTAAGTGATATTCATAAAGCAAAATTTTCTATGAAAACATGCTTACATACCTGTAATATGCGAAGTTTATGAGCTGTCAACACCTTAAAATATCAAACCACAAAATACTCTAAATGAAGCATTCCTCATTTAATTAGTCACAGAGCACAAAATGAAAGTTTAAAAATGAATATATAGATGAGTGGAAACTTTTAAATGAAATTTCATTTCATGCATCAAATTTTAAATGACAAGTAGAGTTATTCTAGAAAGATTAATTTTCCACTAGGATCAATGTGACAACACAATATAAATTCACATGGTTAAAAATGTATACAGGCAAACATTGACACACACCTATAAATTACCATGTGTAATCTGCATACTTAATTATTTATAGCATAAAAATAACTTTCTATTCCAGAATTTCAAATACAAAGAACAGTTCTGTTTGCCAGTTTCCAATTTAACCAATTAAAATCACAGGGTCAACTAAGATTCTCACATAATTTAGACAACAGTATATATCCATACAAATATTAAAAACTTAAGGAAAGATGTTTTTCTAAAAATTATTTAAGTAGAAATACAAACATGCACAATACTGTACTTTGTAAACTAGTCTCCCCCACGTCTCTGACAGGACTTGCCACAAATGCAGTAGTAAGTAGTCTTTATAATCAGATTTAGCAGAGTTTTGGTATGTGCAATACGTATTTTCTACCTACCTTGAATGTTTATAAAGTTTACGAGGTCTACTATGCAATTTCCGATCCCAATTCTCTGGATCACTGGAGTTACTGTCATAGGGATGAGGCCGTCCTGCCATCCCACTTCAAGTTTCCTCACACTATTGCTCTGAGAGCACACATGTAGCACCCATAACCTACATAAAAGAGTAGTGTTTACCTTGAAATCTATTCCATGTAGAATGAAACAGCCATAGAATTTTACATACTTGATATTATTCTGACATATTTTTAAAGTGACAAATAGATCATAAAATACTAATCACATATCAGGTGAAAATAAGCCCCATAAATTTTTAGGTACTTTTCATTTCAATCATCTATTAAATTTGCTATCCTTATGCAACAAATTAATAATACATTATTTAAATTTTAATGAATATACTTAATTCTTGTTCAAGGACTTCGTGTTTCTAAACATCAATATAAAATCAAAATGGTAAAAGCTATTTTAGTTCTTTTGGAACACTTTTTTCTGTGTGTGTGGTAGTGGGCATTGAACCCATGGCCTCCACAGTGACCTTATTTTATTTATTCTTTAAAAACAGAGTCTCGCCAGGCGTAGTGGTGCACACCTGTAATCTCAGCACTCAGGAGGTAGAGGCAGGAGGATCGTTGCGAGTTCAAGAACAGCCTGGGCTACAAAATGAGCTCAAGGCCAGCCTCAACTGCATAGCGAGACCCTGTCTCAAAAAGACAAAAAACTAAAAAATAAAAAAAATAAAGACAGGGTCTCACTAAACTGCCCAGACTGGGCTCTAAATTGTGAGCCTCCTCCTTAGCCTCCCAGGGCTAGGGTTATTAGTGTGTGCCACCATGCCTGGCTGAAGCACAATTCTTAATCACTAAAAGTTAAGATGCTTAACAATCTAGTAAGACCAAATAACAATGTTATTATTTCTTTAACCAAGTTAATGACCCAGAATAGAAATTTAATTTTTGCTCAAAAATAAATATATATGTTTCCTGATGGTGCAAATTACCACAAAACGGCCTTATCAGTACAATCATATACTTAAATCTTTCATATACAGGGCTTGTACCTTAAATCTACTATAGTTCTATGAAATTATAAGAAAACAGCTTTACAGAGTACCTTAACTAAGCACTTTTAAAAGTATATTCATTATCCAATTTAATCTTCACAATAACCTTGCAAAGTACACATTAGAATCTCCACATACAGAAGAGAAAACAGTCTCAGAATTTTGGTAATTTTGTTGAAGTTCATAATGCTGGCCAATGGTAAGATTATAAAGAGCAATAAGAATTTAATACACATGTTGTTTTTGATCTTAAAAAATGCTCTGGCTGGGCGTGGTGGCGCATTCCTGTAATCCCAGCACTCAGGAGGCTGAGGCAGGAGGATCATTGTGAGTTCAAGACCAGCCTGGGCTACAAAATGAGCTCAAGGCCAGCCTGAACTGCATAGCAAGACCCTGTCTCAAAAACTAAAAAAGAAAACCCTCAGACTTGTTTGAAAATAGATCAGAATTGACTTTTAGAATGTAAATACCAAAAGAGAAACCAATGACAAG